ATGTGAGAAAACATTTGCAAATCATGTATCTGATAAGGGATTAATATCCAGAATATATAAAGAACTCCTAAAACTCAACAACAAAAAACCCAAACAACCAAATCCAAAATGGGCAATGAACGTGAATAGACATTTCTCCAAAGAGACACACAAGAGAGAAAGTGGCGGGCGGGACCGGTAGGGCGGTGAGCAACGCCCGCACCAAATGCCAGCAGCACTTCCCCTTCGAGGCGCTGTCTCAGGGGCAGCAGCTGTGCAAGGAGTGTCGGATTGTATGTTGTGAAGCGCACCGACTGTAGGACTGAGCACCGGCAGGAGAGTAAAACCAATAGTGCGCTCAGAATGTACAGTTGTATGGAATGCCCAAACCTCGGCAGCACTGCAGTGTAACTGCAGCATTCACTGGCACCAAAGCCAGCGCCGCACAAATTCAGAGAAGTATGGGCCACCACATTCCTGTGAACAGGGCAAGCAGCAGGGTGCATTTGACAGGAAAGATGACAGAAAAAAGGTAGACGGGAAGTTGTTACGCTGGCTGTGCACACTTTCATACAAACGGGTCCTTCAGAAGACCAAAGAGCAGAGGAAGCATCTGAGCACTTCTTCCCGTGCCAGCCACCAGGAGAAACAGCAAGAAAACACTTCCTACATCTTCAATTCAAAATGAAATCCCAAAGAAAAAATCCAGGTTTGAGTTGATCACAACCAATGGTCATAGCTTTTCCTCAGACCTGGCTCTGGACTCACCAGGCACTGACCACTCTGTCATCTTTGCCCAAAGGAAGAAGTAGCCACTCTGAAGAAGGTGCTGCATCAAAAAAAAGGATCAGATGAGTTTAGAGAAGAACCCACAAAGAAGTTACAGAACAAATGCAGGCCAAAAACCGAGAGCTCTTTGTTTTTTTTCCAGGTATATTATGTATGAACTTTGTACTACGTATAGCCAGAGTTTTAATTTACTTTTTTAAAAAAAGAAACTTTTTCTTGATAAAGGAATAATGGTAGCCTAGCTCATTCTTCTTGTAAAAGTGATGCCTCTTTAAAAAAACTCCTACTCTCTAGCTTTAGTAAAAGAATCAGATCTTTTCTTTCTTGCTACCTTGGAGTCTTAAAAACTGACTACTAAGGTGAAACAATTCAATATGTAAGTATGGAGTTAAGTATCTTCTTACATGCTCTTCCAAGAAATCCTCCAAAAGGCACTTAAGGGCAGAAAGAAAGGTTGTCCAGGTTGTACTGGACACTTCTCTCCCCTACCCCTTTCTTGACTGTTTTATGTGACTGATAAATTCTCACACTGCCACCTCTTTTTAAAAAAATACCCTTTACTTATATCCGTTATCACACTGGGCCATTTTCAGGTAACTTTTTTTTTTTTTTTACCTGATTCAAAATGGGATAATATTTGGACTACAGAGCATTTTGGAGGTTAGTGTGAGCTGCTCTAGTAGGGACCGTAAGGCTGACTGGGACAGTGATATCACTCTACCTCTTCCCCACTCCTCACCCACCCCAGCCTGTACACTCCCTGCTTTTAATGGAAATGTGTTGAAAACAGGTGCTTCTCTATAAAAGGCAGCTTGGCCCCAGCCTGAATTTTGTCCTGTTTTCCCTTCAGGCACATGGATTTCCTTTTCCAGGTGAGAGGATAGACTGGCATTTCTAGCCGTTGTCTCAGGTCCTCTATATGATGTTTGTGAAAGGAACTAGAGACGTGTAGTGTGCCATGAAACAGGAAAACCAGCTACCTTGGAATCATAATGCAGGGGGCGGAACTAGAGTTAGAGGTAATCATAAGGGCAGATGACATTTGTACCTCAGTCTACCAAAAGTGTAGCAGTAAGCTTAACTTGCTAGGCATTTCCTAGGAGCAAATGCTTCTAATTGGTGAGCATTCTCACAAGGGGAGCCATGCACATAATTGGACAGAGATGTGGAAATGAGTGACTTCCTTCTGGTAAGAGGAACAATGGACCATGTTACTTATAGATCACTCTAGTAGAGGATGTAATTTTCCCTTCTAAGCAAGGGAAATGGCAGTGCTAAATAGTTTTTGAATGAGAATCGTTTAAGTAAAAAACTGTCAGATAATATTTTTCAGATGCATTTACATCGACTATGGGGAAAAGACTGTGAAAAAAGTCATGTTTTTTTTTAAAGACTTGAGAAATTGTTACATGAAGTGACAATGTAAAAACACATTATTTTATACTAAATCTTTTTTTAAGGTCTTGGCATTTAATATAAATATAAAGCAAATCCACACATTTTCTAACTTTCCACAAGTTCTAAAAAGGGAAGGCAGAAACCTCAGTCTTGAAATTTTGGTTTTTAAAAATCATGACACTGTTTTACCATGAATTGAGTAGCTAACTTTTCGTAACACCTTTTGTTTATTTGTATGTTTGATTACGGACCTTTTGATGTTTTGGTTTGTACAGACTTTGAAAAATGTGTGTTAATAAAAATTCATATTGAATAAGAAAAAAAAGAGAAACATACGAGTGGCCAATAAGCACATGAAAAGATGCTCAGAATCACTAATCATTAGGGAAATGCAAATCAAAACTACAATAAGGTATCACCTCACACACATTAGGATGGCTATTATCAAAAAAACAAACAAACAAAAAAAGACCCAGAAAGCAAGTATGGACAAGGATGTGGAAAAACTGGAATCCTTGTGAACTGCTGGTAGGGATGTAAGATGTAAAGCAGTTGTGGAAACAGTATGGTAGTTCCTCAGAAAACTGAAAGAATTACCATATTCTCCCACAGTTCCACTTCTGGGTATGTACCCTTAAAGTACTGAAAGTACGGTCTCAAAGAGATGCTTGTTTACCCATGTTCATGGCAGCATGATTCACAATCGTTAAAATATGTAAGTAAGTGTTCATCAAAGAATGAATGGATACACAAAGTGTGGTCCATCCATACAGTGGAATAAAAAAGGAAATTCTTTAATACGCTACAACATGCATCAACATGCATGAACCTTGAGGGCATCATGTTCATTGGAATCAGCTAATCACGAATGACAAATACTGTATGATTCTATTTATAGGAGGTATGGAGTCACATCTCATAAAGACAGAGTAGAATGGTGGTTGCAGGGGCTGGGGGGGGGAGTATGAGTTACTGTTTCAGTTATGGGCTTGGATTATGATGGTTGCGCAACAATGTGAATGTATTTAATACCACTTAAAATGCTTAAGATGGTAAATTTTATGTGTATCTAACTATGATTTTAAAAAATGATTTTTAGAAGGATGTGAAAAGACACAATAAAACTGTATATATCCATTACTTTCCTACAACACTTTTCCATTTTTATTTCTACTCCACTCATTTCTCCACATAATTTTGAAGAAACTCTCAGATATACCATTTAATCCATGAATATTAGGGAATATATGTTTTTTTAAAAACATAATCCGAAGTCCATTATCACACCTAAAAATAAACAACCTGCGTTTACCATATTCAAATAACCACGAGCAGCAGTCAGCTTCCCTAATGATCACTACAGGGATATAACAAGATCCATACATTTCAACAAATACACGAGTAGAAGTTCAACATCATTGGTCACTTAGGCTATCACGGCCTACCCACTGTGGGGACTCTAATTTTTAAAAAATAAAACACAGGTTTTCCCAAAAGATGCGGAGAAATAGGAAACCTTGTACACTGCTGATGGGAATGTAAATGGTGCAGGTGCAGCCACTATGGAAACAGTTTGGCCGTACCTCAAGAAGTCAAAGAATCACCACATGACCCAGCAACTCCACTCACAGGTATCCGCCTAACAGAGATGAATACTTAGGTGCACACAGAAACTTGTACACGGATGCTCAGAGCAGCAGGGGTTTTCTTCCACAACCAAAAGGTGGAAACAACCCCAATATCTATCAGCGTACGAATGGGTAGGCCAACTGCGGTGGACACACACACAGTGGGATCACACTCTGCCATAAAAAGGAAAGAGGTGCTGACACATGCTGCAACGTGCATGACCCACAAAGACATTACGCTGAGTAAACACTAGACCCAAATGACCACATATTGTGTGACTTGGGGGGGGGGGCACGCAGCATGGCATGCGGGATCTTGGTTCCCCAACCAGCACCCCCTGCAGGGAGAATCTTAACCACTGGACCACCAGGGAAGTCCCCGTGTGACTGCTTTTATATAAAATCACCAGAATGGGCAAATCCATACAGGCAGAAAGTAGATGAGCGCTTGCCGGGAAGGCTACAGGGGAAATAGGGAGCCACTGCTTAAAGGGCACAGGGTGTCCTGGCGTGAGGAAGAGGCTTTCACATTAGAGATGGTGGTTGCACAACACAGTGAACGGACCAAATTGTATATTATTAAACGGTTAGCTGTAGGTTTTGTGAATTTCATGTCGATTTTTTTACAAAGCCATGCAGATCTTTGCAAAAGACCGTCTAGATTTGGGGATATTTCCATTGACTGTGTTTGGTAACCTAGGACCCTGGCTTCGGGGAAAAAACATTTTTATTTCTAGGAAATTTCCGTGTTACCGTTGCCGTACTCTCTTTAGAGGTTTAAATGCCACTGCAGGGACTTCCCTGGTGGTCCAGTGGTTAAGACTCCATGCTCCCAATGCAGGGGGCCCGGGTTCGATCCCTGGTCAGGGAACTAGATCCCGCATGTGACAACTAAGAGCCCACATGTCGCAACTAAACATCCCGTGTGCCACAACTAAGACCCAGTGCAGCCAAACAAATATTTTAAAAAAATAAATGCAGGGCTTCCCTGGTGGCGCAGTGGTTGAGAGTCCGCCTGCCGATGCAGGGGACACAGGTTCGTGCCCCGGTCCGGGAAGATCCCACATGCCGCGAAGCGGCTGGGCCCATGAGCCATGGCCGCTGAGCCTGCGCGTCCGGAGCCTGTGCTCCACAACGGGAGAGGCCACAACAGTGAGAGGCCCGCGTACCGCAAAACAAATAAATAAATAAATGCAACTGCACAGCCATTGTCGCATCAGAGGATTCATCTGATCATTTTGCATCAAAAAAAAAAAAAAAGGCAGGCGAGACTAATCCTATTCCAAGTACAGACATTCTCTGGAACACATCCAGATTACAAAATCTGTAATAAAGCTCTGGGTACCACACGGTAGGGTCTTGAAGCTGGGCTTCATCTGCTTGTGGACAAAAGAAGGGGCTGCCTGACAGCCCAACAGTTGACCTGGCACATACTGCCGGCGCTCACAGAATGGTCGGCGGGTTCTGTTAAACAATCCGTGGGGCATAAAACCACACCATCGCTCTGATGGGGATGGAGAACACCCATAAGGAGAACACCCATAAGGCCACTGCACAGTCATGTCTAAAAACACAAAAAGTATTGTCCAAACCAAAAATAAGACCAGCTCTCAAACCTACTGTATCAATATTTGGAGGATCTTTTTCCACTTTCCCCAATTACAAGTTAGCTCCACTCCATTTTTCCATTTTTCCAGCTCTGTACGTAAGAATTACTAAAATTCTTTCCATACACTACCCCATGAGTACATCCAATCCACAAATCCTGCTTCCTTGCTCCTTCCACAAACCTGGCGAACACGGGGCGAGATCCCCTGATCAGGTCTCTCATGCCGTCCTCCTGAGTGAACACACAGTTCCTCATGGACTCATTGCAGTCAGTAAGCAGATACTATTCAACCGTAATTGTGTTGCTGGGTGTGAGGAAGGAATAAAGGTTCTCCCACGTCTCACACTTACAAGGTGAGTACTTTTATGTCGTGTAATGACGACGAGAGCCTTTGCCACATTCCTTATATTCCCAAGACTCTATTCCATTATGAGTAGTCACAGGTCTTCTAAGGGCACAGCAATAAATAAGAACCTTGCCATGTTCTTTCCTTTTCATAGGTTTTCCGCTCGCTTGTGACCACTCCCATGTCTGAAAAGATGAGTGACGATAGAGTTCTGCCACATTCCTCACGTGGCATTTACCAGGGAGACATGTTTCTGAAGAGGAGAGAAAAGGAAAGGCCATCCCACATTCCTGACACGGATAGGTTTTGTCTACAGCATGAGATCTCACATCAGCGCTTAGATACGAGACCCGTCTGCCCAGCCTCACACTGAAGGTGGGATTCTAGACTTGGGTATCCACTGAAGCCCCCCAGCACTCGGTACATTTGTAGGATTCGACTCCAGCAGGGTGTCTTTGTTTCACAGTAAGACTGTAGTCTCGCTTTGGTTTCTCCCCACCGATCATCTACATCACTATTGTTCCACATATGGACGAAGTACATTAACAATTCATAATCGGGCTTCCCTGGTGGCACAGGGTTTAAGCATCCACCTGCCAGTGCAGGGGACACGGATTCCAGCCCTGGTCCAGGAAGATCCCACATGCCGCGGAGCAAATGAGCCCATGTGCCACAACTACTGAGCCTGCGCTCTAGAGCCCATGCGCCACAATTACTGAGCCTGCGCTCTAGAGCCCATGAGCCATAACTACTGAGCCCGCGAGCCACAACTACTGAAGCCCACGCACCTAGAGCCCATGCTCCGCAACAAGAGAAGCCACTGCAATGAGAAGCCCACGCACCGCAACAAAGATCCAACGCAGCCAAAAATAAATAAATATTTTTAAAAATTCATAATCATAAATGTAAGGACTGATAGTTTTTCACGATTATTATAACGACACATTTCCCAATATTTGTGACTGTTTATGTTTTTGATGTTGCAGTGTGTTTTAGGCATAGTATTCCTCGGAGAAGGGTGCCCCAACCCAATATTTGAAAACTATGCTCGCTTATCAGTTTAAGGAGCCTCAAGAGAGAAATAAAAAGTCAGCTTAGGGACTTCCTGGTGGTCCAGTGGTTAAGGCTCCACGCTCCCAATGCAGTGGGGGCCCGGGTTCAATCCCTGGTGGGGGAACTAGATAACCGCATGCTGCAAGGAAGATCTCGCACGTGGCAACGAAGATCCCGTGTGCCGCAACTAAGACCCAGTGCAGCCAAATAAATATTTTTTTAAAAAGTCAGCTTCAAACATCTTAAAAGATGTTTAAGCAGATCTTTGTTGTCACAGTAAAGCTGTTCATTAGTCTCAAGACTCCATGAGGCCTCTGACCACGTCTGTGTTTGCTAACGTGTGCCCGTTTCTCAGCCCAAATCTTGGAACAAGGTCAACAGAGTAAGATAGGTTGTTCTCTAAAAGGACAAGTGAAGGAATGATGCCACCCCTACCTGCTGAGGCCAAGTTCCTGAAGGTTCGAAGCATCACATCTCTGTAGAGTTCCTCTGAACAGGACTTAGCAAAGCCCACTCTGCCCAGGTGAAGTCCGCAGCCACATCCTCAGAGACCACTGAGTCCTGAAACAGAACACGTATGTTAGAGCAGCAAACCCACGTCCTCCAGTACAAGCAGGAAGGCTGGTGCAGCTCACAGCCCAGGGGAACGGGACTCATACTATGTTCCCCCAAGTCTCTGTCGTCCTCCAGCTTCAAATCTAAGCCTTAGGAGTCAGACCTTTCCGCTCTGTCCACAGTCCTCTTGTTCACTCATCTCATCACATCCCATAGATCTAACAGCACCTGGGACATCTTTTTTTTTTTCTCCTTTTTTTGCCAAGCCACGGCAGCATGCAAGAACCTAGTTCCCCGACCACAGATTGAACCCACGCCCCCTCAAGTAGAAGCATGGAGTCTTAAGCACTGGAATGCCAGGGAATTCCCCAAGCACCTTTGACATCCTGAACTTATTGCCCCAGCAGTTACGCTGTGACCATTCCTGGTTTATTTCGTCCCCATGTGCACTATGAAGAAATGACAGAAATGCTCTAGAAATGAACCATGTCTGCATCAAGATCACCCATTTCAAATGACAACAACTATCTTATCTCCCTTTTCCTTGCCCAACACAGCTATCGGCACATGAGACAAGCATCAGATCTACAGAGGTGGTTAACAATGGGAAAACACTGAAGGACTGGGGAGGTGGTATTTTTTTTAATGCACCTTCCAAACTGTCAGAAACCCAGAGGGAAATTACAACGGCCACCACCAGTCTTGACTGGCCATCTTTCTGGAAGAACACTAGGCCATTAAGAGAACACAGGCCTACCGTGCACCGCAACAAAGAGTAGCCCCCGCTCGCCGCAACTAGAGAAAGCCTGCGCACAGAAACAAAGACTCAACGCAGCCAATAATAAATGAAATAAAAAATAATGAATTAAAAAATAAAAAAGAACACAGGCCTATTTTTCCAATCGGAATATTATTTTGGAGAATTTTTAGTTTGGACTTAAGTGTGAAGTTTTGTGCAAATTAACTGTGAGGGAGAAGCGCAAAGCTCTTGACACTGAACCCAAGGCCCAAAAGAAGTAAACAACAGGATTCTCTGAATTCAGATCCATCAAATATTGATAGGAATATGGAAATACCAGACACCCGTCAGGGTAAAGTTCATAATGTTTGACATCTGATCAAATATAAGGCATTCGAAAAAGCTGAAATGTAGGGACTTCCCTGGCGGTCCAGTGGTTAAGACTCCGCACTTCTACTGCAGGGGGCATGGTTTCCATCCCTGATCGGGGAACTAAGATCTCACGTGCCTCGAGGTGTGGCCAAAAAAGAAATAAAAATTTTTAAAAGGTTGAAATGGAAGACTCATGATGATGAGAGAAATCAATCTACTGAAACACCCCAGCACTGACACCAAGTTAAGGAACCTTTATAATTGTCTTCTATATCAGTGATCCCCAACATTTTTGGCACCAGGGACCGGTTTTGTGGAAGACAATTTTTCCACGGATGGGGCGAGGGGGGAGGGTTCAGGCGGTAATGTGAGCAATGGGGACTGGCAAATGATGCTTCACTTGCTTGCCCACCACTCACCTCCTGCTGTGCGGCCTGGTTCCTAACAGGCCCAGGTGTTGGGGACCCCTGTTCTATATGACAAAAACCTTATATAGAGAAATGGAGCTTTACTTTAAAAGACCCAAATCAAACCTCAGGACCCGGAAACTACAACATCTTAGATGAAAAATATACTGAATGGAGGGACTTGCCTGGTGGTGCAGTGGTTAAGAATCCGCCTGCCAATGCAGGGGACACGGGTTCGAGCTCTGGTCCCGGAAGATCCCACATGCCGCGGAGCAACTAAGCCCGTGCACCACAACTACCGAGACTACACTCTAGAGCCCACGAGCCACAACTACTGAGCCCGCACGCCTAGAGCCTGTGCTCTGCAACAAGAGAAGCCACCACAATGAGAAGCCCGTGCACCGCAACGAAGAGTAGCCCCCGCTCGCCACAACTAGAGAAAGCCCGCATGCAGCAACAAAGACCCAACGCAGCCAAAAATAACTAAATAAATTAATACACACACACACACACACACACACACACTGCATGGCATTAAAAGCAGATAAAATACTGCAGAAAAAAGAGATTTGAACATAAAAGGATGGGTCTTTACTGCAAAGATGTGAACTCTGCAATAAAGTATCAAAAAATATAGAGAGCATCTGTGAGCTGTGAAAGGACCCCTAACAACCAACTACACATGTAACTAGATTCCAAAATGAGAGAAGGAAGCTAGAAGAAAATCTTCTAGCTATAATAATCAAAATTATTCAAAGTGAATGAAAAATATAAAGCCCATATCTAAGAAGGCTGACAATCACCAATCACAGGAAACAAAGAAATCTACACCAAGGCTTGTCATAATTCCCAGAGATGAGGGAATTCCCCAGCTGTACGGTGGTTAGGACTCCATGCTTTCACTCCCCAGGGCCTGGGTTCCATCCCTGGCCAGGGAACTAAGATCCCACAAGCCATGCAGTGAGGCAAAACAAAACAAAAACCAGAGATGAAGAGAGTATCTTCAAAGCACCCAGAGAAAAACAACACATAATACACAGATGAACAAACATAAGGTTGATACATGAGTTCTCACTGGAAATAATGCCAGTGCAAATACATTGCTGTAACATATTTTACGTGCTCAGAGCAAAACTGTATGTCACAGAAAATGTCTATACTAAGAGGAAACACCTTTCTACACTATGGCAACTGAGTCAGACACACAAATGCTGAAAGAATCCATTCCCAGCAAACTGGCACTACCAGAAAAGGGAAAGGAAGTCTTTCAGGCAGAAGAGACAGGACATCAGCTAGAATGGGAGATCTGTACAAAAGCTTGGAAGGTTCTGGATGTGTAGATACATGGACATAGATATAAGATGGGGACTTCCCTGGTGGTGTAGTAGTTAAGAATCTTCCTTCCAATGCAGGGGACACAGGTTTGATCCCTGGTCAGGGAACTAGGATCCCGGATGCCGCAGGGCAACTAAGCCCGTGCACCACAACTACTGAGCCTGAGCTCTAGAGCCTGCGAGCCACAACTACTGAGCCTGCATGCCACAACTACTGAAGCCTGTGCGCCTAGAGCCCATGCTCTGCAACGAGAAGCCACTACAGTGAGAAGCCTGCTCACCGCAACAAAGAGTAGCCCCCGCTCACCACAAGAAAGCCCACACGCAGCAATGAAGACCCAACACGCCCAAAAAAAAAAAAAAAAAGATTAGATGGTTTTTCATTTTTTTGTCATTTCAGTCTGAGAAATACTTGATTATTTCAATAAAACGCCAATATACTGGAGGGCTAGTATATATCTAGAAGTAAAACACATGACGACAGTTGCAGGAAGACCAAGAGAGTGGAAATGATGTCTTTTCTGTAGCGTTAGGTTTTTTCACTTCCTTTCCCGGTGGCTTACTTCCTTTTAAAGTTAGAACCGGTAATATCCTTTTTCCTCGTTTTCTCTACTGCTGTTCATTTGCTGTGAAGCCAGGTTAAGTGGCCCCTCATCTTGGAGAATGTCAACATGGGTAAGGGTCAGTCCTTTGACCCCAGGCTTCTGGCCCCAATGTCAAGGCCAACAGGTAGGAGCACCACATCTCTGCCATGAAGGTCAAGCTCAATTCGGGTGTCGACTCCCCAGGTGGCACTGCCACAGTGTGAAATCCTTGAGGGACCTGTAGATGCATAATCTACAATGCACCAATTTCTCTCCAATGTGAAGAAATTTTCTGATGTATTTGCAGTTAAGGATAAAAACAATTGGGACTTCCCTGGCGGTCCAGTGGTTAAGACTCCGCGCTTCCACTGCAGGGGGCCCGGGTATGATCCCTGATCGGGGAAGTAAGATCCCACAAGCTGCGCAGCGCAGCCAAAAAAAAAAAAAGGATAAAAACAAGACTGCAGGGCTTCCCTGGTGGTGCAGTGGTTGAGAGTCCGCCTGCCAATGCAGGGGACACGGGTTCGTGTCCCGATCCGGGAAGATCCCACATGCCGCGGAGCGGCTAGGCTGGTGAGCCATGGCCGCTGAGTCTGCGCGTCCGGAGCCTGTGCTCCGCAACGGGAGAGGCCACAACAGTGAGAGGCCCGCGTACCGCAAAAAAAAAAAACAAAAAAAAACCAAGACTGCAGTTGCACTGTTGAACACACACACACACACACACACACTCTGGAAACAACAGAGGCCCCAAGA